AGGAGACGAAAGCAGACCACAGAACATTGCTAGACAGCAGGAAAGGAGGTGAAAGGGGGCAATTTTAGAGAAGAAAATGTTTCGGTCACTACCTTGATTCGAACCCGGGACCTTTGAAAGAGAGGCCAACACCTTAACCTCTAGGCCACGAGAGCCCACGGCCAAGTTTTAACAAATAAAAATAACGACCTCTCTCTCTCTCTCTTTCTCTCTCTCTCTCTCTCTGTCTCTTTCTCTTTCTCTCACTCTCTCTCTCTCTCTCTCTCTCTCTCTCTCTCTCTCTCTCTCTGTCTCTACTCCGTGCGCGTGCGCCCGTGTGTGTGTGTGTATGTATGTGTGTGTGCGTGTCTGTTGATGGGAGATTGGTTTAGGGGGTTCTCTGTAAAGCTTTCATTTGTTTCTCCAAAGGACCAGTAAATCTTTGACACAGACCCCATAAAGTATTTCTACAAAACAAAACAAGGAAACAAACCAAAAATACAGCGGTGGTGACTTTGTTTTCTCTGAGATGTATTACGAATCATGAGTATTGCTAGGAAACTATGTACGTTATGCAGGATATAGATAAAAGTTTTAGTTTTAGTAGAGGTTTTACGGCGCTCGCAAATGCATAAGGTCATATGAGCGCCAGAAGAATAGAGGTGTTACAAGAGAGTAACAAAGATAAAAAAAGAACAAGGGGAGATAAGGACGACAGATGTTTGATATGAGCAAACCACACCAGAGCACCCGCCACACACCCACAATATAGATACAAGACAACAACCACGACAGCAACAAAAACAGCAGCTACAGACGGTGTCCGGGTAAGCAGAAACAAGAACAAAAGGCACAGAGGGTAAACGATACAATTTAACAACCAACTTTGCTTTTTTTTCATATGAAAATATCAGCATGCTTTATTGAAATGGCAATCGAAAAAAATCAAATGAAAAAGAGAAGGCTTTCAAATTCAAACATGAAAAAATACAACGAGAAAAAAATGAAAAAAATGTAATGAAGCAAAGGAAAAATGGATAAACAATGGACGTGTCAAGAAATGAACAAAAATCAAATAAAAGAAACTGTAACGATGCACAGGAAACGTGGATAAATTATCCGTGTGGGGAAATAGAAAAAAATAGAAACGAACCCCCCCCCCCAAAAAAAACCCCAACAACAACAAAAAAAAAACAAAAAAAAACTAACAAACCCATAAAAACACATATACGTGTGAAATGTTATCCATGTCAGGAAATAAAGAAAAAATCCAAAAAACAAACAAACAACAACAACAAAAAACACATACACGTGTGAAATGTTATCCGTTGTTGAATTTCCCCAACCGAGTCTGGCGGGTTACAAGATTTTGGCTGTTGATGGGCGTGGAGTAGTTGCTGGATTTCCGCAACGGTCGTTCGATCTGATGGCGAGGGGCATAACAGACGTTCAACGCATTGTCTGTGCAAGTCTGGAATCAACACCTTGTCTTTGAGCTTCTGTAGAAAGTCCGTTCCCGTCTTAGGTTCTTTACGGAACAGCAAGGCCCAGAGACAGAGTCCAAGAGAGTAGCTCTCAAGTTTAAAAACGTCATCAACTGGCTCGCCGTCGTCGTATTCCGGTGCCCAGTAGTGCAGAGTGCCTCCCCAACGCCTGGATCTGTTCGAGTTTTTGGGAAGAACCTGAACCTGTCCGAAGTCCCCCAGTACAGCGTTTCCACAGTGGCTGATGAACACATTTCTCAGCTTCAAGTCGCCGTGTACGATGCGGTGTTGGTGGAGAAAAGACACAGCGTCTGTTAACTGGGTGAAGTAGCGGCTAGCCTCATCGGTCGAGATATCACAGACAGCATGGGACAGATCGGAGCGGTGCAACTCCATCAAAATGGCGACTTCATCGGGACATTTAACAGCTCTCTCCATTTTTATAATATTGGGATGACGAACGTTTTGAAGAATTTGGACTTCTGCCTCAAACTCAAGCAAATTTCCTAGTTCCTCAGAATCCCTTTCATCGAGAAGGAAAGCAAGAAGCTTCATAGCTTTTTTGTTGTCAGGGTTGTTCACATCCGTAGCTCGATAGACCTTTGAGGAACTGCCACTACCCAAGGGTTTATAATCTAACGACACACCGAGCGCCTCTGTGACGTCACGATCCGCGTAAACTTCGAACACCGGTGGACGGAGACGACGCAACATCGTGCACACACTGAAGCTATAGATGGTAATACGACAGATCTAAGATAATCCCAGTTGTCTGTTGCTCAGAGATGTGGGGGGATAAGAAAAAATAGTCGTCGTACTTCCACCTTCAGTTCTTGAGATTAAAGATGGTTTGCCACAACACAAACACTGGGTTTTCCCCCTTCACTGTATATAACGAGGTGGAAAATTCCTCTGAATCAAATCCACAGTGCACTCGGGGATTCCAGGAATAAAATGATAAAATCAAGAAGTCAATTACCGTTGGTTTATAGTCCAAGAAATACCAACTGATATCCACAAACTCCTATACACTTTCCAGAAGTTACTGCACACGAGGATTTCAAGGGGGAGGGGGGGGGAATCAAGCGGTCACTTTTAAAAGCACGTGGTTGATAGTCCAGGAAAAAGATCTCCAGAAGTTATTACACGAGGATAGTAGGGGAAAAATCAAGCAGTCACCTTTAAAAGCACGTGGTTGATAGTCCAGGAATAAGATCTCCAGAAGTTACTGCACAACAATTCCAGGCGAAAAAAACAATAGTCGCTTTTAAAAGCACGTGGTTGATAGTCCAAGAAATACCAAATGATCTACAAAGTTATAATAAACTCTCCAGAAGTTGTTGTGACATAAGTTGACAGCTGAAGCGTTCAGAAAGCAAACGAAACGCACACACAGCTAAGACAAATGCGGCCGTTTTGCGTTGTTTTCTCGTGTTGCCAGAGAGGGCTTGACCACGTGACCAAAAAAAGGTACGGTCATCCAATCGGCGCTGCGGATTTAGTATTGTAATTTTATTGCCCGTTACAGTTTTTGAATCGTGACGTAATTGTTGGGATATCACGAGACTGCCCTGAGGCCCGCCATGGTCATGGGTCCTGCCTTTTGGTCATTGCGCGTCGTGATTGACAAGCGGTTCAGCCAACCAAAACCAAGCTCTGGTCAGAGCTCTTACATAAAATGCGTGCTCTAGAGCAAACAAAGAGTTTGTTTTTACATATTCATTATGATTGAAACTGCTTTGTCTTGAGGGCAAAATGTAGGGGCTGGCAGACTGAAAGGGAGATTGAGAGAAAGAGAGGGGGAGAGAGAGAATAAGAGAGAGGGAGAGTGAGAAAGGGAGACAGAGAGACAAAAAGAGACAGAGAGAAAGAACGAGAGTGAAAGAAGAAGAGAAAGAGAGAGAAAGAGAGAGAGAGAGAG